GGGTCGGATCATATTTGCTCATACACACAGAAGAAATAGTACACTCAAACACGCACACGCACGTTTTGCAGTACTTCTTTCATCACACACCCACACTCCACATCATTCGTTATGAATGAGCCATGCAAATACACAGCTCTGCTTTGACAGTGGAAGACACTCCCCTGCGCCTTGGAAATGTCATCGGTGGTGTAGAACTGAGGCAGATGTAAAAGCCAAAACGCCTCGGCAAGGTCAGCACTCAATCAATTATCAAAAGTCTTGAAGGCAAGCAACATTACATTCACTGCAAACCAAGATTCGACTCCAATGTCAATTCTGAGCTCCTCTACGGTTGCAAAACTTGGAAGTGAAGGCAACAAACACAGTAGCACTGAATAAAGTCCAGACTTTCTTCAACAGTCAACAGATGTATGAAGGAGTATCCTAAGAATTAAATAGCAGAATAGAATAAGAAATGAAGAGCTGTGGGAAAGGACATGACAAATGGATAGAAGTAGAATTAGGAGGACTAAGAAAGTGGTGATGGATGGGACACACGCTCAGAAAGCCCAGGGGAAACATCACAAGACAGTTGCTGCAGTGGAACCTGCTAACAGAAGGAGCACGAGGCAGGGGTAGGCCTAGGCTACGGGAAACATGGAGGAGATGTCGTGTGGAAAGGGAAATGAGAGAGATGAAGCTCGCTTGGAACAAGGTTATGGTCCAGGACAGAGATACATGTACCTGGGAGGAGCTTGTAGGTGAGAAAGGAAAGGCACTGAGGATGATGATGAATCAAACACAGTGTAATATACACAATGTGATCCGTAGATTAACAACAATATGTATGCACAGAAAGATACACAGTCATAAATTACAAGTGGGTGGTTGGCGGGTGCTCTGGTGTCCGGTTTGCTTCTTCTTTCCTACCAAACATCCATCGTCATTATCTTTCCTTCTTCTTTTTTATGTTTGTTAATATATATCTGAGGGGGTTGGGGGAAGAGAGATGTTATAGTTAAATAAAACTAGCAGCACTTAATCATTTTATCCTTTGGCCGCCACTCAAATAATATGGCGAGTTATCATCCCAACTTTAGCGGGGGGGGGGGGGGGGGGGGGGGGAGGATTTCACGTGACGAAATTCCAAAGGGGCATCATATTAATATTATGATTTCCCCTAGAACATTTCTTATTCGAAGTGGCTAGCCGTACTTGAGTACGGCTAGACTGAGAGTCTAGCCGTACTTAGTTCTAGGTTTGGCCCAATCGACTCAAGCCTGTTAAGTACACAGGTCTCATTAGATCTAGATCTAGTAATTATTCAGGTTCAAATACATGCAAGTCAGTAAGGCACCTTTTGGTTTTCACTGAAATACAAATACTTTAGGCATTGCAAACTAAAAATTTCATTTACAATTCAGCCATCAATATTAAGTACGGCTAGCCTGACAGTCTAGCCGTCCTTAAGTACGGCTAGCCTGGCTGTCTACCCGTACTTAAGTACGGCTAGACAAAAAGTCTGGCCGTACTTAAGTACGGCTAGACTATCTTAGGCCCTATTAACATTAGAAAACATGAGGTTTAAAATACATGCACTGTCATTAAGGCACATGGTATTGTCTCAAATACAAATACTTTAGGTACTGCACACTAAAAATGTATATTTACAATTTAGTAGGCCTATTTTTTGTAAATGGTTTAAGAATAAGTACGGCTAGAATGTGAGTCTAGCCGTACTTAAGTACGGCTAGACTGCCAGTCTAGCCGTCATTAAGTACGGCTAGCCTCTTCATTTCTTATTTGCCCACAAAATTGCGAGTTATCTCCCCTGTATTTGGTTTCTCCCCCCTCCCCCCCTATCCTCAAAGTCCGTCATTTTAAATTGAGAATGTATAGATCTAGATCTAGATCTAGTTTTCCAATCTAATGCTAAAAATAAAAAGATGAACAATAGAGTCTAAGAAGTTACACATCTTCATCTTGTTATCCAACACAGTATACATAGAGTAAACAAGGAAATGACTCAATTATACGGTAATCTATTGTTTGACGAAAGAAGCATTCAATTTCAAGCAAGCCCACATCCGGAGAACCTAAATTCTAAATGAAGTACTGTTCGCAGACGATCAAAGTCTACTGAATAACAATAACACTGAACTGCAGGAACACGCTGACAAACAATCAAATCTGTAGAAATGTGTGCGAGATGGAATGCCTCAGGAAAACATTAACAAGAAGGGATAAAGTGAGAAAAAATAAAAGAGAACAAGTTGGGACATATGCAAGGAGTTTAGTTCTAACTCCTTGGACATATGAAATACATTGAAAAAACAACGCATTAATAAATACGCCTAGGCCTATGTAGGCTACTATGTGTGCCAATAAGCCCCAGCTCATTTGCCCATGTGGGCCAATGAGAGCAGCCATTCCAAAAATAGACATTGCCGCAAGAGAGAAAATTAAAAACAAGAAATCAGGAAAGGAAATTCCGAGTGGTGGAATAATCATCAAGTAAACACATACTGAACAAACTAGATATCTACATTGTAGGCTACGCCATGAGTTTCTCTAATCGCGGAAATGATGGATTTTCTGTAACAACTGAGAGAGATGGGTCAAGATCTTTCCGAGGTGGGTATTTTCTTGATTTTTATTTTTAAATCAAACAGAGTCACAAAAATCGTTGCTGATTTGGGCCCAAGTTTCACTTTCACCGAGGCTACCTATTTTCGATAGTCTAGAAATAGAATAGAGGTTGCTTCCAGCTTCAGTCTCAGTCTAAGTCAATTTATGTTTTCAAGTTTATTGTGAACCGCCTTTGAGCCCTTTTTTATATAGATCAGACAGTGAGACAGTAGGTCAAGATCTAGAATCTAGATCTAGATCTATATCTAGGTCTTGGTCTGGAACTTCTTTCGAAGTGGGTACGGCTACATGCGATTAAAAGTAGAAATGATGCAGACTATTTTTAGGTAAGGCGCCCATCTTGTTTGACGTCAGACCAGGATACTGGATACCCCTCCGATCACGTGACTACATCTAAGTATAGACAACCGCATGGCACCAAAGATGGAAGTGTCTATGTATATATATTATGCTTAATCTACACAAATTTCTCGGAATTTCTGATAGCTGATTTGATAGCGCGTCTGCGTTTGATGTCGAGCAATGACTTTTGGAGCGGTTCGATTCCGGTCCCGGACAGTTGGTTTTTTCTCTTTTCCTCCTCCCGACTGACCAACAGTTCCATAAATTATAGGCCTAATTTGTAGAGTTGCTTTGACTTTGAAGTTGTTGTTTATTTTTTTTAATGTATTAGTGATTAAAAATGCAGGAGGGGGGGGGGGGGGGTGGTAGATCTAAATTTAGATATCTAGATCTAGATCTAGATTTCTAGATCTAGATATTATCTAGTCCTCCTGCGTCTTTACGGCAATTTTCGTGCGGTCTTCCATCATGTCCAGGTAGGCCTAATAGATCTAGATCTAGAATCTAGATCTAATCTAGATTCTAGATCTAGATCTAGATCTAGAAAATCCGAAATGTTACCGAAAACACGTCGTTCCATGTTTGGGTATCCCAGGAAGTGATGACATCACATTACTAAAATAAGCAGCCAATCAGAAAGATGCGTCATTTCTAAGTTTAACGGCATGTCTCTTAGATCTAGATTAGTAAAAAGTCTAGGCGTATGTATTAAACTTAAGTTAGCAATGCCAATGAAAATTTAAATTTTCACTTTAGCCCTTTTTGTTTTAATACCTAAGAAAGAATTTTCGGTGCTTTTTCGGTAGTTCCCACCCCCCTTATTTGAGCCAGACCTACATCTAGATCTAGATCTAGATCTCTATACGTTTGAGTTTGATTCGCGGTGAGCTAGATTTAAGACTAAGATATCAAACCTAACAACTGCAAAACATTAAATTATGGTAAAATTCAGGGGGGCATGCCCCCCTGAAACCCCCCTTCCTATTTTTATTAAGTCAGGGGGGCAAACCCCCCCTGAAACCCCCCTACTCTTGTGGCCCAAACCCGTGAATAAAATTGCGGGATGGGAACTACCGAAAAAGCGCCGAATTTTCAATTCTAAGAATTATGCTTCTTGAATTTTAAGAATCAGTTCATAAATAAAAAAGTTATGGGGTTGTAAAGGTCGGCAAAATATGGATGACCCACATATATAGGAAAATACTTCTAAAAAGTGGACCACGCAGTAGCAGATTCTGTAAGAAAATCGACGATATCTCGGTAACTAATTGGAGTGTTCGAGAGAAACTTGGCCACCCGATGTGTTTTTGAGTGTAGAAATCATTTCTGCAGTCAGATTTACTACCAATTTCGTAGTTATTTTGTTATAATTAAAATTTTTGTGTACATATTACGATTTTGCGAAAAAGGGTGTCGGGATGAGTCCATTTTATTCATAGATTCATAGCATCGTATCACAACATGGGATCTTTAAGAATATATGTCGGCAGCATGACTAAGTAATTGCAAAGCTTTTTATGATGACTTTAGACCATGCCAACCGTAAAAGATTTATAGTTATTAAAATTCAATCTAGCATGCCGTACAATTAAAAATTATTTTTCCCCATTGAGACGCGAACACCCCGAGACCAGATAACCTTGCCTCGGAATACCCCCATTGCGATGTTACAGGGGAATAGAGAGAAAAACAACCGGATGCGCGCGCCCGCCATTGCCCTATTGCAAGTGACCAATGAACGGGCCCGGAATAGTCATGCGGGGATTTGCAGGTCACATACATTTGCCACGAGAGCGAAGCCGCTTTGGATAGGGGGGTAGTCGTGCATTTATGATCGGGTCTAAACAACTACTTGACACAGAACGTTCAAATTTGAGCACACTATAGAGGATAGATAGATCTATTACCATCTCGGCGTTGAAATTCAAACTCCTTATAGTTCCTTAATCCCGATTGGCATTGCTACTTAAATACGGCTAGACTGCCAGTCTAGCCGTACTTATCTGAGGCCCTAATTAACATTAGGAAACAGGAGGTTTAAAATACAAGCACTGTCATTAAGGCACCTGGTTTTGTCTCAAATACATACTTTTGGTACTGCTAACTAAACATTTATTGACAATTCAGTAGGCCTTTTTTATGGTCAGTCTAGCCATCATATTAAGAATAAGTACGGCTAGCCCAGCAGAGGGAGGGGGGGAGGAGGAGTAGCTCAAGAACTTCCGGGCAAAACAAAATGTCGACCCGCGTAATTCGGCTCGATTCGAAAAGTTATAGCCGTAGCATCTTTGTAGACGAGGCTGCCATTTTATTTTGCCCGGAAGTTCTCGCAAGATCTAGATCTACTCCTTCTCTCTCTCTGAATTGAGTCCAGCATGACGTCCGTTCCGACTTCCGACCTTTGTTCCTAAATATTTCCAGCATGGTACGAACTTTTTTTCAATTATAATTAAAACAGTCGAGACGTGAGCTTTAACATCCAGTTACTAGATCTAGATCTATCTAAACTGGCCCTCCCTGGACATGATCAAGTATTATTAAATTCTAGATCTAGAGATCTAGAGTCTATACACTCAGAAAGCCAGCCTACAATATGACAACACAAAGCAAGATGGAATTCCCAGGGGAGGAAAAACAGGGGAAAGCTGAGATCCACCTTAGAGCGAGATCCAGAGCCAGATCTCAGTTTATATGTAGTGTGGGAAAAAATATGGCAGTTTCAAAACAGCTGACACTTATAGTCACTGAGTCATCACACTGCGTGCGGGTCTGATAGTAAAAGTTTACCGATACTATACTCTTTGACAGTGAGTTTATTGAATTTCAAATACGGTCTAATTTAGAGACAGAAAGCTATCATTTCATTAATTAAATTAAACTAACTTCAATGGTTTTTTAGATTCAGTTCAGGGACAGTAAGATAATTTATGTAACAATGTATACTGTAAATATGAATGTAATTAGTATTAGTTATTGTTGACCACAGTGTCATGTTGTTTCATTTGTGCTTTGGATAGGTGACCATGACCAGAGATGGGACAACAACAACTCACAACGAGGGTATCGAGGTGGCAGCAATTATCGTGGAAACAGAGGAAACCGTGGGAATAGACGTGGTGGATCGGGATTCCGACATTTCAATGCTACCTCCTCAAAGTTCAGATACAATCGTCATGAAGCCGATGGTGATGGGGACGTTTCCATGTCTGGCGATTCCAGGGGAGGAAGGAGTCGTGGCAGATAGTGAGTTTTGTTGATGTAGTAGATCCAGATTGTCTTAGGCTTTTGCTGAAGGTTTCATTGCCATGTGGTGGTAGATGTACTTAAAGTACAATATAAGTATTGTGTGGGGCACTGTGTATGATAGTGTGTATGTTAAATTTTATTGTTTTCTGGCTGCAGGTGTCTCAGAACCAATTTAGAGGTTGACTCACAGGTCCACAATAAAATTCAGGAGGCGGCATGCATTATATTATTTAATATAAAAGTAACTTTGAACTGACCTATTTGTCTTCTCTCCTGGCTTAAATCAGAAGTGGTTTTTAAGGAGTTTAAAAAGTTTTCAAGAAACCAATTATCCATACGGAGGTTAACATTGCAATATAATAATAATGTGTGTTGGCATATGAAAGCAAAGGATTGTAAGAAAGTCATTTTCAGTGATAAGGGCATTTTATATGAGCATTTTTTTTGTGTGTGGGGGGGGGGGGGGGGAGATTTTTTTGCCCCTTGCTTGACATTTCATTGGGGAGTCTTGTCCCTGATTTTCCTGGACCGCCACATGAGAAATATTATTGAGAAGCAAGTTTGCTGATTTTCTTATTAAATTTCTTAATTCTGGGGGGGGGGGGGGGGGGGGGGTCCTTTACCCCTCATGGAAAATTTCAAGCTGGTTATTCAGGAGTGTGCAATAAGTCGACATTTTTATCTATTCACATTCCAAAATTCTCTCTTTGTCTCATACCTCATTTTATTTAATTTGTTATCTTTTTCTAAAAGAACAGGTCATTCTATTTTAGCAGCATACAAGTTTTTAGCTGAGGGCTGTAACTCATGAAAAATGATCAAAACTTATAGTGATTAGTGTGTTTATGAGTTTTCAATGACAAATTTATGACTTTAAAAAATACTTTCCAGTGTGCAGTAAACTTTAACAGTTGTTCTTTTTCTAAAATAATTAGTTCATTTCATTTTAGTTGTAGGCCTACATAAGCTTTTAGCTGAAGGCTGAAACTTGTGAAAACTTATAAAAAGCTACGCTAATTAGTATGTTTCTGTAGTTTTCAATGTCTGAATTGTGACTAAAGAAAAACTTTTCCAATCTGCAGTAACTCGTACAACAGTCGGTCAAGAAGCAACAACAGGCGAGGGGGCTCCAGCTACCGTGGTGGTCAGGCAGGAGGGAGTGGAACAGTCAAAAGAAACAATGAGCAATGGCACAAGGTCATGGTCCCTTTTGGGGCCAACATGTCGAAAGAGGAGTTGTATACCCTTGTAATCCAGAATATCGAAGGGAAATTTGAGCCAATTCAGGTACAGGGGCTTGTTTTGTCTTTCAAAATTGTACTGCCTTATCCCTAACAGTGGCGGTAAAACTGAGCAGTTGGTGAGGCCTCAGTGGCGATACAACAGTATCATTATTCCTTCCCCATGTTTATTGGAGCCTTTATTATAAACTTATCATTCCAAAAGATAAAATACTTTTAAAACTTATATTATTTCTTCTCAGAAATGATAGTAGTTTTATTCAATTTAAGTTTTCAAGACCTTTGATATGTGAAGTAGCTGCAGCACAGGTGTCAATACACTAGTTTTTGGTGAAATCAGGTGTTGGTGATGGGTGACATTCATCAACACAGCTGAATTGAAGCTCTACCAGGCTCAAAAGTATATTTGAAAGTATTGAAGACTGTGTTGATTACTTACAAAAGTATATGCAGGCTCTATTTACTTTGTAATATGAGTGGGTAATAGAGGGGGCTGCATAACAGGCTGCAACACTGCACATCCCTCAGTGGATTGAAATTGGAAAAAACTTTTCACTCGAAAAAGAAATTGCTAGTCAGAAGTTGAGGTTCCTACACAAAGTCTGCTGATGGCTGAGCTGTGAGAAGGATGAGTTTCCTACAGTCCTTCAAGCCATCAGAACTGCACTTAATTTAGGAAAATCCTAAATTTAGCTTTGTCTGTGTTGTTAACTCCAAATTGTTTGATGATTTTCTAGCACTTAAAAACTGAGAATATTATTCTATTAGTCAGTGTTCTTTTCACTTTATAAGGGTGTAAATGAGACTAAACATGCTTTACTTTCTCTTCACATTTTCATATTTGGTTTTGTCATTCCCAACTGGTTTTTCTGCAGTACTCAGCAGATGAAAAGTCAAAAAGAGTGTACTTTTTCATCGAAGGGTCTGCTCCAGCAGAAGCATTGCGAAGCATCAGTCGCAGACTCAACAAACCTGATGGACATAAACTCATCTTCCATATTCAACCGTCAGGTGCCCCTGCAGGCACCCTTGATAGTACCAGCCTTGAAAAGTTGAAGGTGAGTTCCATTTTCCTATATCATGAGGGCCAATAGTTATGAATTTCTGTTAGGCATGAAGGGAATTTTACCATACTTTGTGCACCTTAAAGAACTTTATTGAGTTGATAGGGGTGTTTTACCTATGCTGTACCATACGAGTATGTGAAGAAAAGCATCACAATTACAAGATTTGTTCCCCTGCTTATCTCTTGATCAGTTAAATACAGTCAAACGTGCTTTAACAGCCACTTGTAAAAGACAACCACCTGTACAAAGGGCTACTTCCCATTTGCTTGCTTGCACAATTTTTGCATGATAATGACAATGTGTAAGACGGTCACCTGTCTAAGACGGCCACTTTTCTCCTTAACTATGGATGACAGTTTTGACTACATATTTTTTCCACTCGTCCACAAATATAATTTAATAAAAACACACCGACGTGCTCATTCTCATGTTTTGGTGTAATTTTTGTATTGTTACAGTTGCGAATGAGTGACCGCTATGACCCCTCCACACAACTGCTGAACCTGAGCTCCATGTATGCTGACGAGGTTCTCAGCAAAGACAACATTTTTGTCCCACTGAATCGTGCTGCCACAATGACTGCTGTAACAAAGATCATTGCTGAATACATTCCTGAGGTGAGAAAGATATGGCTTGATGGATATTGAGCTTTTGAAATGTCTGTTGTAAAGTGTATTGAGTCGAAGTGATTTTTAAAAATACTTTGTTTCCTTTAATCAATAACAATTCTGGTGGCGTGGACCTTTGCATCACTTTCTAGAAAAAAAAACACACTCTCTTCAGACCTAAAAGTTTTAACAAAGGTAGCATTCAATATTCTGAAGAACATGACAGAACTGGATTATTATCAAGATATTGATCTGGAGAATTTATAACATTGTAGGTTTTGATTGCCATGTATCGTTATAGAATATTCAAGAACCAAGCCATTAATTTCTAATTCCTCTTTTAAGAAATTTGAGCAGACCATGGATAAAGGCAAACGGCTGAGTGGCTAGTGAGCTCAGGCTCACAATAATGCCAAGCTTGTGTCGGTAACACAACATTTTGAGGATGGGTAAGCCCCATGAAATTGTTGATTTTTTAAATTCAAATTATGAAATTTGAATTGTTTATTGATTAGTGTTCTACCACATCTATATCTAAAACAAAGAACAAATTTAGAAAAGTTTTATTCATGTCATAAATTGCTTTTGAAAACATGAAAATAAGCAATCACTTGGAAATGTCTGCAACTAACAAGCTTTTTCCTGACAGATTTCACCTTAAGGGGATGTATGCTAGAAATTTCAGTATTCCTTATACTGTTGTGTCTTGGAAATATTTTGTTTTCTTTTTTGACATCTTTTCCATAGTACTATAGCCTAGTTTGGTATCTCCTATTGCAGCATGTGTAGGGGGTTAGTGCCTGCTCCCATGTTATTTACTCCTTTTTGTTTTCAGTGATCTCACTGACCTTTTCTGCTCTCTGTCGAACTGTGACTTGGATGTTATTGCTAATATTCATTTCATAATAGTCTGCAGCTCAGCAACATTGCATCATTTTTCATGCTTTACCATTTGATTTTTAGCTCATGCATTTATATCACTGTTTTGTTGTTTCAGTTGACAGGTCTGGATATCAGTAACAACAAGTTGCTTTCTCTTGGTCACATGGGTGATCTGGTGAAGGCTGCCCCAGCCCTGACCTCGCTGAATCTTGGCAAAAATCAGATTAGGTCAATTGATGAGTTAGAAAAACTGAAGGGATGGTCAAATATCACAGAGTTAATGATTGATGGCAACGACCTTTGCAACAACTATAGCAATCAGAACGTCTATGTGAGGTAAGTGGTGGTTCCCCAAGGTGTGTGCGCATTACAGGATGCAACACTTTATGGGCAGACATGAATCTCCCCTGTAAATGGTGAGTCGTTGAACTGTCGTGTTGTCGTCACATTGTTAGCTGAACACCCAGGTAAAATAGTGCAAATGTCTTTGATCAAAGGAAAAAGTGCTTTCTTGTCAGTTTTCATGAAACAAACTTGCACAATGTAGTTTTCACATGTTTTTTCAAAGAAAATAGCTCTTGGATATCCCCTACCCTTTTTTTTTTTTTCCTTAATTCTTAGGAGTATTTGATTCATTGCCAGGGTGCCATATACTTCCTGAAAGAGTGCAGTTTTATGTGCATGTTGAAGTATCTATGCTCATTTATTCCTTTGTTCTTATAAAATGAAAATTATAGTACAAGACATTTCTTTGATTTTGTTTTCAAAGAGCAGACAGAGCTAATGCATCAATGGCATATTTCCCTCATATGTAAAATCTCTAAGAGTTACCCTGCAGGCACCAAGTATGACACTGGTGAATTCCTCCATGTCTGGAATGTTCCCATGAAACAACATGATGTTTTAGCATTCTTATCGAGTTTATGTGGCAGAATAAGCTTCAACAGAAGTAGAAAAGCTATTATGTTCTTACAGATTTGTAATGCTGATCATATTTCTCATATGAAATATATGAAGTCAATATTTAATCTGACTGTTGTTTGTTTTAATAGGGGAATTTGTGTGTGTGATCACTTAAGGGGGCATAGTTTGGAATTTGCAAGTGGGGTGCACTGTGCTTCTCTTCATCTTGTATGTGTAGTGCCGGTTCTCAACAAAATATTTTTTTAGGTTAAGCAAGTATGTCCATCCTTACGCTCACAATTTTATTCTTTAATGAGACACAAAGAGCTTTTTAGAATTGCTTTAATTTAATTCCTTTCAAAATGCGTCTTGACGAACGGAATTATTACTTTAGTCTTTGTCCATCTTTATTTAGTTGAATGATACATTAGGGTGTAGGCATTGCCGTCTTTGAACAAGTATTGATAGGAAGACTTTTGCCACCTGTCATCTCCGCTTCTTTTGGTTGACAAAATATTTGTTCTTAAACAATCCAGTCTCCTTTCATCTGTCGGACATTTAATTTGACAGTTTTTTCAACTGTGTCTTGCCTTCAATATGAAGCTCTCATATCGCCAAAGTTGCAAGAACCTATTGAATGCAGTAGTTCGTATGTACTTTGCTCCTGTTTATCGTTTGAATTTTCACCCCGTTTGTCTTGTAATGAATTGGAACTCTGCCTTTGTAGTTCAAAGACCCTAATATCAGCATGATGATTTTCTTTGACGTCTTTGTGGAACTGTGCATAGTTAAGGAAAGAAAAGAGAAGGCATCTCATTGGGAAGTGTATGTCGTGAAGACATGATGTCAATCACACATAACGCGGTTGTATTAAACAGTCTGCTGCCTTTGTGCATTACTGTTTTTTTAACCAGGGTGGTCATGTCATGTCTTGCTTAGGGACATGCTGCATTAACAGTGACCATGCAAGGGCCATCACTCAAACACTGCTTGGAAATTGTTTGTGAACCCATGTTCACTAACAGTTTGACCATACCATTCTTTCATTCAAGTCCTCAGGGTACGAAGAGTTTAGGTTTGTAGTCTGATGGTCATTACTTCAAGTTGATCAGCTGAATGTATTTTGTTTGTTTTTTTCTTTTTGTGTGATGAGATGAACTATCTCATCCTCAACCTTTTTTGTTAAAAGAACTGTCCTTTTGTCACATATTCTTTCTATCAGCAAGCAGTTTTCATTAACTATCTTTGTTGAAAATTTCTACATACCCAATTATATGCCTTTAATGACCATTTAACTAGGTATTTTAGTTTTAAAATGAACTGTAGACTCATCAAGTTTGCTGATTCAATGTGAGTTGTTTTGCAAAAGGAAGGTGTTCAGATGGTCTAGAAATATTATAATACACAGACGTACATTTGATGCCACACTGAATACATAACACTACAATTAGCTGACTGTAGCTGCCTGGCATTGATATGTGATGATTGATCAAAGACAACTGCCATGATGCCATTTGAAGAAGTGGCCAAATGTCATTGTCAGAGAGCACAATATAAAAATTCTGTGGTGCCCCGATTTTATCGTGGGTGTACTAAGGAAAGTTGTGCTCAAGATTACAGGATTAACACAATATTTTTCGCTATACCTTTACCACTGCAGGTAAACTCGTAGGTAGTAGCGAAAAATCGTGTCAGTCTTTGTATCGCATTGAAAGATCATCATCAAATCACTATGCCCCTCCAGGTTCCTGATCCCTTATTTCGTCGTTTCCATCACTTGTGTTTTTCAAGATAACCATGCTTCGTGAGGTATGAACTCTAATTCTGGACATTGAAGCTGAAGTCCAGTTCTCACGCGACATGATGGAAAGCACGCGCTCATTTGCTGTATTAAGTTGCATTTTGCGACTTTCCATCCCTAGCTTAGTTCAGGGAACTTGTGTTGGATTTGCATATTGCTGCATTTAGTCTTTTGTCCCATTCTTCTTTGCCTTACTTTCTATGAACAAAATTGCCTTAGTGTCCTAATTTCCTGTTACACTTTTTGACTTCTGTTGTGTTATGCAGAGTCTTTCTTTTATTTCATGTGCTTTGGGGTCCATTCTGATGTTGAATTAGATTTGAAAGGTTGTAGATCTAGGAGTGTAAGAATTTTGATTTCCTTGTTCTTGTTTTTCCCGCCAGCTCATTCCATTGATATTCTTTAGAGATAACATTGTCATAGCTGCTTGGTTGATAGCATGCTTTGCTTTTTTTAGGTGAACATCTGGTATGTGGAATCTGTATGTCTGCCAGCAGTATGACTGCACTAGGACAACAGCTGGGGTGAACTTAAGCCAAAGAGGTTTATGGAGGTGGTACCTGCACCTGCATGCTAGGGAAATCCTGTTACTGTAGTGTCATGGGAAATATGAATGTTACTTTTTTTTTTTTTATTCTTCATAGTGACAAGTAATGTGGCCTGGCTTTCAGTCTCCCCTTCAGTGCACGGTCTTACCGTGCAGATAATGGTTACTTACTTGCTTCTTCATCTTCTTTTACGTTCTTGTTGCAGTACAAATAAGTATTGTTGAAGGGCACTAAGAGCCTTTGTCTTGCTTTCTATTGTGTAAGTCATACTGATAGAAACTGTACTTGTCAGGATGGACAAAGATTGAAGTAAATGTATTATATTAAGGGATGAAATGTCTGTTTCTCGAAGTTAAAAAAGGAGCGTACACGTGAGAATCGGTTCTTTTACTGACATTTTGATGAAGTGATAGCATTGTTGCTGTGTGACAAAATAAAGGGACAATTTATGTCTGAAATAGATCAGCATTGCAAGTGTAAGTTATCTCTGATGTGTGGACTATATTTGCTCTGAAAAGATTTTGACACATCACTACAGAATACATTGATGAAAATATCTTCCTGCAAGCTTAATGTGCATCTTTATTCACACGTGGGAAATAAGTGTTATCAGCTGACGGGAAATGAGTGTTGATACATCTAGAAGTAAAAGATTATTGTTCTTTTCGGGGGGGTTGTTGTTGTTGTTGTTGTTGTTGTTGTTGGGAGGGTAGAAAGGAAAAGAGTTCTATTGTTTGTTGGGGGGGGTTTTTTTGGGGGGGAGGGGGGTGTTATGTTTTGTTTTTTTGGTTTCCTTAGCCAGTAAGAGGTGAAAACTAACTAAAGGATGATACTTGAAGTTAAAATACTGCAGAAAAATTAGAATATCAGTAACGTATGCTGAAGTCTGCTGGGTGGTTGTAAAGTAACCGTATCCAGTACTATCCACTACACTCTCTTCTTGAGTTGGTGAATGCTGCTCACGGGTCATAGTCTCTTTCACCACAGAGACAAAAAAACCCAACTTTTTCCAGGATAAAGCCATTGTCATTTGTTTAGTGTGTTTTTTTTTCTTCACAATTTTTAAGATAAAGTTTTTAGACTACCCTGTGTGATATTGATGTTAATTGGAGCTTTGAAAAGACACAAAGATCTCATCCTTTTATAGATTAATGTTTTATAACAGAATATCAGTTTAAAGATATCATGATCTGCTTTACGTCTTTTTCTTCCAAATTTTATTGTAAACAGCGCTGTTCGCAAGATATTTCCCAAAGTTATGACTCTGGTAAGTCTATGGAATTCAGCATGTATGACATTTGCAAGTTAAAAGCTGTTGAATATTGTTTGTGATATGAAGACCTTTTGATAATGTCAATGTTTTCCTCTTGTGTGTAATGTTTTCATCTTGTGTGTTTGATCTTAGGTTACTGGTTAGAGAAACTAGCAAGGCAATTACTGTAAGTTATGAGAATTTTTTTAACAAAGGCAAATTAATTTTAAAGTCTCAGAATAAATAAAAGAGGAAGGGATATTGAATATGATTGAAAATGAAGTTTAAGATATAACCAAGGTTGCATTTGGAAAATGAAATGAGTTTTTTGTTTGTTTGATTTTGATTTGTATGTGTGTGGCTGTTTAAACGGTAATGTACTAAAGTTCTGTGTTGGAACTCCTTCCACAGGATGGGAATGTTCTACCTCCCCCAATCACATTTGACCTGGAAACAGATCTCAAATTGCCTCCGTCACTGGTAAGATGAAACTACTTTTGATCTTTTTGCATTTTTTCATTGACTGAATTTTTTTGGTTTTGTTTTGTTTTGTTTAGATTGATGTGTTAGTTTCAATAGTCTATGTTACTCAAGTTTACAAAACTAATGTCTAACACATCAAGGGTCTCTTTTCCTTTGAACCTAGAATAACTGCAAAATCAAAATATTTAAAAATCGACTTCAATACTTTATTATGTCCCTTTTTTGTGCAACCAATCTGCCTCTTATTGTCATTGCATGTCCTTTAAAGGGGTGGGGGGGGATGCTTCAATTCAAGCTGTTCTGTACACTTTCATATTTTCTTCCACAGGGTAGCTACTTTGTTAATGATGAAATCAAGAAAACTCTGGTGACCTTCATCAAAGAATATTACACCATTTATGACTCAGACAAGAGAAGGGACTTGATTCCAGCATATCACGAAAATGTAAGACTTGAAAAAAAATTTATGTGCTTCAGTTGTGTTAAGTCTTCAGTCTCCAAGTGTGACTATGAAAGAATGTACCTTCAAAGCAATGGGGGAATTTATCATTTGGCTAGTCTACAGCTCGCTGTTCATCGCAAGGCTACCATGCCATGCTGTTTTATGTTTATCCTGTTATTTTCTATATATTCATTGTGTGTAAGTGCTCTAAAAATGTTTCAATGTAGGCCTTGAGTTTCTTTAGAGCTTCTTCTGTACGCTGTTTTGAGAACAGATTGTAAACAACAGAGTTGGGCATAAGCTTTGTCTACTTGTTGCTTGATTCTTGAAAATAACGGTTAAGTTTCTTATTACATTACCTAACTACAGCAGTAGTATTATAAAATTGTTTACAGAAGTTTTATTGTACTTGAATGTCTTCTCGTTACAGGCCCAGTTGTCTATATGTACCTCCAAGAATCCTTTGATGGAGAGGTATGTACAAATATTGTTTGTATTTGCTTACCGCACCATATAAGTGAATATACTCCACGACATTTATTATAGTGCTGGTGATATAATACTCTTCCACACCTTCTTTTTACCCTTTTCCCCTCAGGGATCTGTCCTGAGAAATGCCCTGAACTCCTAGAACAGGGAAATAATCCCTTAAAATACCATACAGTATGTTTTTAAAAACATTTTTTATGAAATGATCTTAGAAAAAGCAGCTATGCTACGAAAGGAACTCTGGTTGTAACACACCTTTATCCTCTGTGGTAGACTGGGAATGCTGTTTGTTTATGTCTCCTTGTATAGTTGTGACTATCCATTTGCGTTCATGACCCATCTGCCAAATTTAAAAACAATGCAACTACTCCAGTGAATTTAAAATGTGGTATTATGATTAATTGTGTATTTTTGAAGTTTTGATTTGTTCAGGGTGCGGCTAATGATTCTAAATTAAAGTGATTGATAGAAAATCTGGCAATAGATCAGTTTTTTTCTTTAAAAGACCAGAAGAAAGCTGGATTCTTGGTTTATGCCAAAAATAGGATGCTGGCCTGGGTAGAGCAAGCATAACAAACCACTCACAGGCTTGGCAAATTTACTTTTAAAGTTTAGATTTATTGGCACCTTCAGGTGCTTCTTGTTGGCAAAGGTGTCTGCATGCACTTCTAATTGGTAAATGGTTTACACAGATTATCATCAAGGGTCTGCTGAAAATATTTGCAGTGCTGTTGATTTCATGATTGAGTAGAGAGTGGATTTGTTATGGGCATAACTCTTTTTTTTCTCATAATGAAAAACGTTTTTTTCTTTTGGTGTTGTTATTTGAGAAGTGAATTACTTACACAAAAATGGTATCTGGATTGAGACAGTTTAGAAATTGGCATTATAAGAATTAAAGTATGCTCTGCCTTGCTTTCTTTTGATTCCTTTTGACCCTTCAAATCTGTTTTTTATAAATTATCATTTAGTTGACTGTGTGCTATTGTTGTCTTCAGCAATTTCATGTGTCTTGTTTCTATAGGCAAGTTGGCTTCAACTTTTATCTTGATGACAGCAGGAATCTAAAGAGGATAGGGCACTTGGATTCAGGTAAGTGGGCTCTTAAGTAAAAAGTTCTTTTTTTGTTGTTGTTCCCAGGGGTAGTTGACTTAGATTCTTCATCTAATTTTGCTACTGATCTTTACGTGTGTGACCAATAATAAATTGTCCTACAAGAACATAGTGTCCCTCATCTTACATGTTTTTAAAAACATTTCTTTATGAAATGATCTTAGAAAAAGCAGCTATGTTACGAAAGGAACTCTGGTGCCTTGTAATGTTTTGAAAGATACTTTTTTGACTAGAGTCCTTCAGTTCCGGAAAAAAGACTTATTTTTCTTTGCCTTTGACTGCCAAAATGCCATTAATGTTTGCAGAATGCACAGGGATCCTCCAAATTTATAAATTCAGTTGTTGTTGCATTGAGGACTGGGGTGTCTGTGGACTGCCTGCCCACCCTGAGAAGGGGCCATGCACGTTTAAATTCAGTTAAAACTGATAGTTATTCGTCGTCTTTGTCGTTAAAAAAATAATACATGAGACAGTCTTGGTTCCCCCCTCCCCCCCAATTTTTTTTTTTGTGATCTTCCAAATCCAGTCAGAAAAAGTCACCCATGAGTTATTTTGGTTCTGAATTTCATATTTTTATAATTGTCGGTATTTTAAAGTAAGTTTGTAAATTAAATTTTTGTCATCAACGGGCCACAATGTCTGGCCGGCCAGCCAGTTTGCTACGCCATTTTTTTATTTTTCAGAAAACCTTTCAAATGTGTGTCTTTTTGTAAATAAGTTTTCTTTTCCCTTCAGTTTCCATAGGAGATTATCACTTAATTTAAAAGTAATTTACCTTTCCAAGTTGGACCCTTTTGGGGCATACAGTACTTCCATCATTCCCACTCTAAATTGGGTTTACCTTACAACTTACTCGAATCTCCTCAGAGAAACTTGTGAAAAAGACCAAGATTGGAGTCCTGGGTATTGCTTCCTTGCTGGAGTCACTGCCAAAGACTACCCACGATATTCTCTCTTTTAAAGTGGATCTTACTTTGGCCTTGGTAAGTTGAATAGTAGTTGTTTCTGCAGATGAACTTTGATTTTTCAAAAGTGTTTATCTGATGGTTTGTTTCGGTGGTGCAGTTGATTACAAAATCAGCAACCTTGTGAAAGGTTGAAAGTTTATTGCCACTTTGGGGTGAATCTTCTCTTTTTTGGGAGCGGACTTAATTTTTCTCTCTTTATGAATGTGTATGAAGATTTGTTTCTCTCATGTCTGTCTCTCTGTCTGTCTGCCTGTCTGCCTCTCTCTCTGTCTGTCTGCCTATGTCTGTCTGTCTGTCTGTCTGTCTGTCTCTCTCTCTTTCTCTCTCTCTCTCTCTCTCTCTCTCTCTCTCTCTCTCTCTCTCTCTCTCTGTCCGTTTCACCCCCCACCCCCTCAAATCGTCTTTTGTAATCACGATTTTGGAAAAAGCTACTACAAGATCGTTCTTGTCAATTCCTCTTCTATTACTGTCTGCAACTCTGTTTTTTGAATGATGTGACATTAGTAAGTTTTGTTAATCCCACTTCTCTTGTTCATTTACATTAAATAATCTGTGTCACTGTATTGAACTAGAAAGAGCAGAAGCGACAGGATTAATTAGAACGACATGTGTTTAATCCTTGTAAAAAAAAATTTATGGCTTGGAAGTTTACACCTTGTAATAATTTTGATTTTCCATCTTCTCTTCAACAGCCATCAATGTTGTGCTTCGTTTTGCAAGGACTGTTCAAAGAAAGTAAGTTTGTCGTTAATCTCCAGTACTAAACATTTTTACTCATATTCAGTATTTTGTGTGGGGATTTATGCTGATGCTAACCAGTTTTTAATGGACATGCTCTACTGTTATAAGGTTTAGCAATACTTATTTACAAGAATTGTCATTGTTGTTTTGGTACCGCGCTTTTTTAAACTGCTTATGTGTGGGTGGTTGGCAGATACACTGGTGTGGTTTGATCCTTTTTTCTTATCAGACATGTATCGTCCTGATCTCTTCTCCTTTTTTTGTGTGTGTTACTCCTATGTAACATCTCTAATCATTAGCACTTATATGACCTAATTGTGTTGCAAGTGTTGTAAAATGCTTACTAGAAAATTGCTAATATGTTGAATTTTTCTTCATGATCCATGGAGATCTTTCCTGTAGAGCATACTGCCCAGTGGCTTGCTTATTTTTTAAAACATTTTTTAAGGATTGCCTTATTTAGACTATATACAGTTGAACCTGTCTAAGACGGAATCGCAAGGGAGCCAGAAAAAAACTCCGTCTTAGACAGGGGAAGGGGATATGGAGGTTGGGGAGGGGGGGGTTCAAAGACCCAGCCAGTGGGATCAGGCATCGCTTGTCCGATCGGCAAGCAGTGGTCAAAACTTCACACCTCTCAGCTGCTATCCTCTCTGATCGTGATAATGACATGCGTCAGGCTTACTTATCCAATAACCACCGATGCTTGCCTTTCATAGGACCACTGTTTAACCTATCTATTAAAACAGGAACGTTTGAACATCTCCTTTGCTTCCACCCGTAGCCCCACCCACGAATGCCACCCTCACTGCCATAATGTAACAACGATTCGAGGAACTCTTTTCTCGGCTGGCTACCCAAGAAAGTTTACTCGAGCACTCTCACGGGCAGTCGTGATATTTCACACCCACACTACACTGACCGTCTGCATCGCTCATATGATGGGGTAACATCTACCCCCAAATTGCACCCCTACTCCCCTTCCTCGCCCAGCGGCATGGCCTTAGCGTTAAGTTTAGAGCCGTCGGAACCAAACTTGCGAGTTTTGTTTCAAATCAAGGCTGAGCGGGCAAAGTATTTTCCATCTTAGACAGGTGAAACCCTCGGAAGGGAGCTGATTTTTCTTTCCGTTTCCGCGTCGACAGGTTTCCGTATTATACAGGTAATTAAAGAGGAATATATCAAGGGGGGAGCGGGGAGATTCCGTTAAGACAGGTTTCCGTTTTACACAGGTTTCCGTTAAGGCAGGTTCTACTGTACATATATATGTAGCCCAAATAAGCACTTCCATGTATATATATGCTATATGTCGCAGTGACTTAGGATCCTCCAAATTTTACAATCAAACCCTTCTGCCAACAGATGAATCACGTGGAGACAAAGCGATTGTCAGGGCCTTCAGCAGATCTTTCATCACTGTGCCTTGCGGTGAAGGGTGAGTTTCTACATTCTATCATAAAAGGCTGGCACACATGACTTTTGTGTAATGTCTCACAACATGTTTTTTAAGAATTCTTTTGTTTGAACATGTGTACCTTTTATTTTTGATGAGTGTGTGATCGTGGATGGTGCTCCCTATTTTGGGGCTGATTTTCAATCCTTTTGGCTGTATCTAGAAAGAGACTTGTGTTTTGGTGCTCTGATGTGGTTTGTTCTTTCTTTCCTATGAAACATCTATCGACCTTATCTCTCTTCCTTATTTAAAAATACTTCTTACTTGCTTGTAACACCTCTAACATTTATTTGGCACTCATATGACCTTATTGTGTTGCTAGTGTCATAAAACATCTTGCTAAAAAAAGAAAATAAATAACTTGTAAATTTTAAATCTGGTTTTGTGTTGAGCAAAGTGTGGATTTGACCCGTTTTACACTTTTGTCTTCGGTCCTGACATTATTATTACACTTTGTTCTTTTGAAAATACAGTGAAGTCCACTTGAAATGGATGTGGTTAATCCAAAAGCAGCTGTAAACTTTTTTGAAAAAAGATTCCTGATTTATTATTTTTTTCCGTTCTATTTGAGCAACCTGTCTAAACCGAAAATCCAGCTAATCTGAAGAAAGTATAGTGGTCCCGCAGATTTCGTTTTTAAGTAGATTCCACAAACTGGTTTATTCATTGTTTGTTTTTTAAAAAAACATTATATAGGCTTATTTGGTTGGGGATGGGGGTTTCTGTTTACCTGTGGAACAAAAAAATATCCTGTTACTTATTCTCCCATGGACTATCACAGGTCAATATAAGTTCGTGTAGAATAAAGTTTACTTTTTATTTTTGCTCTTCAGGATGGTGATCACGAATGACATGCTGATGATCTCCAACGCCACTATGGAACAGACAAGAGTAAGTTTACCCAGCTACTCGGAGACACACGTTTAGCTTTTAACCCCTTTGTTCCCTAATGACACACCTGGTATGTCACGAAAATGGGTAAATTTAGCTTTTTGCCATACCATTGATGTCACGGACATTGACAAAATTTGCCATTCCTGGTTGCCTATAACATGTTACATGTCTGCCCCACAAATCATCTGGCTCCAGTTTTTCTGTTCAGAAATTTAGTCAAAAGCACAGTATGGATTTGTATTTGGGAATAAGAAATGTGCATATCAGTACCATATTTGCTAGTATTACTTTACTGCTAGGCTCGCAAGTGAACGATAAACAGTCTTGCAGATGAAAGCATGCTCTCGCAAAACATAAACACCAAAATGGCTTTTGAAAAAGGTAGCAAATTTCAGTGTTATACTTACTTGGATTAGCAAGTTGTTTTAAATTATGGGGATATCTGGCAAATGGGAGATGAGGAGGGTAACACTATGGAAGACCCAGGTTTTGATTATGTCATGAGCAGACCAGAACCAGCACTCATGTCCATTGACACTGACACTGATGGGACAGTATCTTGGGTAATGAGCTTAGCTGAAAATTAATCCTGACAGTTGGAATGCACACCCTCTGGCAATGAAAGGGTTATAGAAAAGAAGAAAAGACTAAGATCTCAGCAATGTATTATATATGATGGTTTAGACAAGTTTATTTTATCTGCAAAGTTACTTTTATGCAATTTTTCCTTTTTACACCAGGTGTGAGAATTTTATGTCTGCATCTTTTGTATAATTAAAGATTTAAAAAATGTATGCACCTGTCTCTCTGACATGAACTTGGGAGGGGTGTTATCTCTCATTAGTTGGATTCTCTTGTCATGATATTGTGCTCATATGTCTTGTGATAATTGCCTCCTGCCTCTATTTTGAAATAAGAAATGGGTTCATGTTGTCCAAACTTTTCTTCCAGAATGCCTTCAAAGATGCCCAAAAGCCGTCCTCAAACGTGTCTTCCAGCAGCCAGTCACAAGTTTCCTCCCCTGTAGCAGCCAATGTGGCAGGCACGTCGGCGACTGCTGCCACCACCTACAGCCCTGAGCAACTGAAGATGGTGGAAAGCTTCAGCGCCCAGTCTGGGATGAATTCACACTTTTCTCTTCAGTGAGTTATCTAAAGTTGTCTTTCTTTTTTTCATTCTTGGCATCTGTGTTTCACGGAAGCTTTTCATTTTTTATAATAGGAATTTTTGTAGATTTTTTCATCTAAAAATGTATTTTTAAAAATTTTTTTTGTAGTTTAAAATTAATGTAGGGAGATGTCTTATAAGTCGACACATACACTGTGTATGCATATTTTCAACTAAACCTGAGACAAAACGGAATAGGCTGATAACTTGTAAGTGCTGATGAAGTGCTTTAAACATATAATATACTGTGATATACTGTGTTGTGACAATGCTATCTCTAGAGTTAGGAGAGGAGGAATTCTTAAATTAAGCTCTATGTAAATGGTGTATAGCATTTTTCCATCTTCATTCCATGTTACAGTGCTGCTTTCTCAGTAAACCATGATACCGCTGATTAGCCAAAATTTTATACAGTCCATGCCGGCTTTAAGCACGGTTGTTGGGAGAAAGCTTAAGCTTGCTTAAAGCTGAAGCGTGCTTGAGTGCGAAGTAGACATAATCCAGAGATTTTCATGTAGAAAATTTCCCGTGTTATTTCCCTTTGTTTGTAAGTAGGCCTATAGCGGTCCCGCAAAAGTGTGCACTGTTATTTAGACACCCGCCATTGTAGTTTTAGTTCGCGCTTGCTTGTTTTTGTTTTGTGGTCGAATGGGAAATGAAAACTTAATTTAGACGGCCAGTCACGATACAGCACACTAGGCCTACACACTGCATGTGTGTACCACTGCCCGCTGTGCCACTCATACCACCGCCTTCATCCCACCTCGCACATGATACACAATCAGGATTAATGGATAGCGAGGGTCATAGGTGAAATGGCAGTTAGCCTCCCTTTCTCGTCTCCCCGACTCTCTTTTTATTTTTTTTGGTCGTGTGTAGTTTTGCCCTAGGCCTAGGCTAGATCCTATGTCTGCGCGCGGCTGTGTGCTTCTGCCTTCTTCTCCGCCCATGTGAGTGTGTGTGTCCATCACTTGCGTTCTTTGGGTTCTCTTGATACACTCCACTGCTACGGTGTAGACTGTGTTCGAACTTCGATGGGTCATCATGAAAATATTGACTGTCTTGTAAATGAAGCGTGCTTGAAGCCGAAGTTACCGTGCTTAAAGGCATGTAATTTATATAGCAAAAATTCGGTAAGAGCCGTTTAGCGTGCTTGAGTCCGAAACGCGCTTTAAGCCGGCATGGACTGTACTAATAATGCAGACTGTTGGTGATAAATGACTAGTGTGTGTGTTTCACAATGTCCAAATTTTTAGCGCCAGATTATTAGATTTACTGATTTGGTGCTGTGGAAGATTTTGTAGTTGTATGATATCGCAACAGATTTTAGTTTTTAGTAAGAGTTTTTCAGCACTTGCAATATAAGGTCATGTAAGTGCGGAAGATTAGAGGTGTTACAAGAGAATAACAAATTCAGAAAAAAACTGGGAGAGATCAGGATGATAGATGTTTGATCGGAAAGAAGGAGCAAACCACACCAGAACACCAGCTAACCACCCGCGCTAAAGTTTAAAAAGAAGTTGTACCTGATTGGTTCTCTGTCTGCAGGTGTTTACAGGAGAATGGCTGGGACTACCAACGTGCAGGGACAATATTCTCACAACTACAGGTGAGGCCATGTTAACTTTCACTCAACTGTGTGTCTTTTTTGTTTTGTTTCGTTTTTCCCCTCACTTCCCTCTCACTTTGGAATTTCTCAGAACTTTGTTTACTGCAATTTTACTCATTTTTTTCCTAGACACTCAGGTACTTTCTTTTTCCTCGCTTCTACTCCTGATCTTTCTTTTTTGTATTGCTGAGGGGTGCCAGTACAGTAGAACATGGCTATAGCAGGACTTTTAGTTCCAGAAGAAAAATCCCTCTGTAGGCAAGTTCCCACTATTGGAATGCAATGCGGAATTACCGAAAAGTCACTCTACGCACTCTCCTTTTCTTTTGTTGTCTTTTTTGCCTTGCCTAGGCCTTGGGCTCCCATCACTTTTGGAGTGGCTCACATAACGTGTCTCTCCACTCCATCTCTCTCTACCGTCTACCCCACCTCACTCGTCACTGGACTGGCCAATCACAACGCCGCACCGCTGACTGCCTGTTTGGAGCCCACCTACAGCCCTCTTTCCCCAGCCAGAGCTTACTCAATCTCTCCTGCTGTATCCAAGTTCGGCCCTTTCCTTGTCCCCTCTAAAGTTAATTGAGTTTACATAGACCCCAAAAAAAGGGGATTCCGGTATGGTTCCGCTGTAGGGATGGTCCCGCTGCAGCGGATGCCGCTATAGTAATGTTCTACTGTATTTACTTTATTCTTCTGTTGTGTACTTTTCTGTTGTTGTTTTTTTTTTCTTTTACTCTTCTTTGTTGCCTGTGGCAGTGTAACATGAAACTGTCTCTGTCAATGGGATATGTACTTCAAAATCTTCCCTTACTTTTATCTCAATCCTTTTTTCTCTATTTTGTTCTGTATTGTTGGGTTTTTTTTAATACGGGAGAGGGGGGCTCTCAGTTGTGCCTGGTTTGCTGTAAAACTATCGCAATGATCTGAGCTGGTTGTAACGGAGTACCAAGTACTCCGGTACTTGTACTTGCGTTACAATTTTCGGTGCTTTTACTGTACTCCTGTACATTTTGAGAACCAGTACTCTACTCTACTCCAATACTTTTTATGAAAGTACTTTTGAGTATTTTTTGAGTACTTTTGAGGTTTAATGAAAGGGTAAGTGGCGGCAAAGTTTTGTTTTGCATCGATTTTCGACTTCGTTATTGTTGGCCCAGTTCAGCTTATTTAGAGTAACAGCCCTTGTTTTTGTGACACTGAAGCAAATCGGATGCCAGTTTAGTCTTTAGGAATACGTTGCCGTTGGCTTGTTACACCAAAGATTCTCTGCTGGTACAGTAGTCTCCGCCTAAGATCCCACCGCTTATGATCCCGGTTCGCTTTAGATGCCGTTAAGAAAACAGAATTTTTACTATACAAAAGTCACCCCTAAGATCCTGCTCTGATGATTCACTCTGAAGGTCTGCATTCGGCTAAGATCCTGCGTTGCAGATCATAATTTACTGAACAAAAACTGGGGCGGGCTCAGCGATCAACCAAGAGTGAAAAGTTGAGATCAGTCAACTTCCCGTTACATCAAAGATCGGCCTCTCTCGTGAATGTGATCACAAGCGTTGTAGAACTCCAGGAAGCGGTACAATGTTTGCCCCAGACGGGATCACACCAAGGCGTGAATTGACCGGTGCGTTTGTTTTCCCCACACTCGCTTCTGAGTTCTCCGCCTAAACTTATATCACACGCTGGCTGGGTAGGGCCTACAAGTTCACGCCAGGTGGGATCGCATCGATTTGTGGACTCTTCCCTAACCATTGAAGTCAGTTTCCTCTATTCCCGAATTTGCGAGACAGACTGAATTTTAATTGGTGTGGTCACAACGTAATGGTGCGTAACGACAAAGGCGGGGGAACTCACAGATCGAAATCTAAAAATTTTGGACAGGCAAAAGGGAGGGGCAACTGGATAAACATAGATCGAGATCTTGAGACTCTCGATAGGATACTGAGTGTATATGGCATGCCCCATGCCACTGTGATTGGCCATCAAGGTTGACCGCTCTTTGCTCTCCATATGTCATAAACCCACCCTGGGGTCGCGTCAGTACATACATGTGTCACTGTAGATGCTTCGTCGGCTAAGATCCCGTATTTTCCTTGCTCCCGAGCACAGGGATCTCAGGCGGAGACTACTTTAGAGAATCTTTGGTTACACTACAGTTACTAGACTTACTATTTTGGTTTGCTGTGAACCACACAGTGTGACCATAATCTGCCTTACCAACCACTATAATCAATTGAAACTGAAACTGAGTTCTTAAACTTTTTTGGGGGGTGATTTTAGCTTAAGGCTATTTTGGTTCCTTGAGAATTTGTTAATGAAGAATTAAATGCACTTTTCCATTTCTTTGCTGGCCATTTTCATCAATTTTGTTTTCTTAAGAGCAACTTTGTCTCTACATAATTTTCCAATTTGGATACTTTTCTGTAGAACTTTCCGACCTCCTGGACTGACTTACATTTGATCACTTTGTCTTTCTCAAGCAAGTTCTATTCATAATATCACTTACTCACTAGTAGCATCTGTTTCTTTGTTTTTTCCATTTCGTGGACCGTTTCCACATACGTTCAGCGTCTGTATTCAAATGCTTTGTGTACTGTTTGCATTTTAGTAACAAATGGCCTAATTTGTCAAATGTACTGAATCTGTTATTCAATGATGTTTTGCATTAGCACTGAAGTGTTTTAGCATATTAGCAGAAAGTACTCTAAATGTACCGGTACTCATAAGTACTTTTTAAAAAATACTTGTACTCAAGTACATTTTACAGGAAAGTACTTAAAATGTTAAGTATATTTTTTAGATTGTACTTGAGTACATTTTTAAAAGTACTTTAACAGCTCTGGCAATGATAGATATGCTAACAGTTTTTTGTTTTATCATTCCAGACAGAGGGCAAGATTCCTCCAGAAGCATTTGTCAAGTAATGCTGAGAGCTACAGCGTTTCCATGACTGGTCCATGTTGATGCAAAATACATTATATTGCTTAGATTACCAATGTTAAAATGTCATATATTGTTGAATCCATGATGGTTTTATTCTGTTCTGTTGTAAGAACTCCCTTCTCCTCTTCTTGATGAAGGATGCTGTTGGTTGAATTTGAAATGTTTTTTGGCAGACAGTTTATGATGTGCATGTTTATGTCTCGTATTCATGATGATTGTGTGACGGCGAAAGTTCTGTTTTCATTTCATTTTTGCAAAACACATTGAACTCTTTATTGTCATTTCTGTCAGCTGGCCCGAGGATTTTTACGTACCGATTTGGAAAAAAAAATTGTTAATGCTTAAGATTTTTATTCACTGGAAATGTTTGTGTTGCTTATCTTTTATAAACTGACCTTATGACCTAATGTAGTTCTTTACAATAGTATTTGGAAATCTTTTAAATCAAAAATAAATCACAGTACCCTTTACTTTCAAATGCAGCTCCACAAATTCAACAATTTTCATGGGATATTTTTTTCTGTATTTAGAGTGCTGCAAGGACACCAGAGAATCTAAATGTGTCTATTCAATTGTGCTCCATGTGGAATGGACTATGTCCATCAAATTTGAATTTTAGATTTGAAAATGTCACCCAAGAGTTTTTGACTTAAAAAGAGAATTTTATTTCTTGTATGATTCAAAATTCATTTCTATTTTTCTGTTGATGATGATTTCTACCAATAATGAGGGAAATCAAATTTCAGAATTCTTGATTTGTAAAAACATCTTGATTGTTCAGAAATACATCTCTCCATTTCTCTGCAGATTATGTAAATAAGATGTTTGTTTCATTCAGTGAGGTGTTATCCTGAAACACAAGGAAACGTAGTGTGTAACCTCTCCTTATGACATGTGTGTAAACGGTCATCACTATGAAAGCAGTCCTATATTCATTTTGAAGCAATAAGCTTTGCCGTATTTTGATCTGTGGAGATAATACTTTACTCACATCATCACAATGTTTGCAATATTTTTTTTGCGACTTCTGAATCTCCTCATGGCACCCCCGAGGTGTTGAATTTCAGAACAGTTCCATTCCCATTAATTAAAATTAGTAGAACTCTGTAGCACAAAAAGTTTCCCGACTTGTGATTCTTGTTTAACTGTTAGTGCTGACCTGAACACCATCCGTGGGGCATTTTCTCGTTACAGAATGGAGTACGAGAAGAACAAGCTAAGCTGCAAAATTTTTTTACTTTATGATCCCTACACGTTCAGTAACAGTTGCAATGATCCTGAATGTGTCCTTCCACCTAAAAAGTCATCTTGATACCGTCTTTGAAACTTGTGCATATTTTGTTTTTAATTAAAAATCAATAAGTAAGATCAGTGAATAAAGCTTCAGCCCAGTAAACCTCTGACTCTAAATTTAGAGTACAACCCACCTGTCTCCTCCTCCCCCCCGTAATTTTCATGGTGCTATACACTTTCTGTCAGGTTCCAGAAGTAGCTTTATTTGATTGCACAGTTTGTGATACGGTCAAAGCAAGTGGAGGAGAAGGAGCAGAATTTGATTTCAGTCGTTTGAAAGTTGAACAGTAGCAGGAGGAAATAATATGAAGCTTTATTTGTTATAATGTAATATACCTGTCCAAATTTCAAGTTCAATGCATTATGAATACTTCAAATTGATTTGTAAGTATGTGTTGGAAGCATTGCCGATGTTCTTATTAATCGTTTACATTTTCCACTTTGTTTTTGTTCAATTGAGCGAAAATAAAACTTGAATGAATTAATTAAGTGTTCTTGTGTGGACTTTTGATAATAATAATAGTATCCCAATTGGAAACAAGAACTTTGAAAAAGTGACAAAATTATATGAATATTTAGCACAAACAATAAGTATGGAGGAGGTGAACTGAGAGATACATGTGGCTTGGGGTTGGAGTTGCTTTGAAAAGTACAGGCAAATATTTAAAGATCAACACCGGAGAGACAAGTCTTCAATTTGTCTGTCCCCGTGGTTTTATGCACCCCGCATTATTTAGCTAAATTTGATAATTTTTTGCATAATTTCTTATTTTTCTTTATCTTTCTTTATCATTCTTTGATAAAATTAACAGAATCGCATAATTTCACATTTTTGGACTCGGTTTGCATAATTTCAGAATTTTTCTTGCATAAAACGACGGGGACAGATTAGTGTCTTGTCCAATCAATAAGTTATGGGTGCTATACCTGGCCAGTAATTAGAAATACTATAAGGACACGACAACACAAAGAGTAAAGGAACAGAAGTTACTGGGCATAGGAGAATACAGTGGAACTCGAATTCAACGAGATGAGATAGATTCCGCGTTTTTTTTTCTTCTTTAAAATCAATAAAATGAACTCGGATTCAACGAGCACTTAAATCTTAAATCAGCGAGCTCGGATTCAACGAGGTCGCTTCCAGGGTGAACAGCCCCCGCAGACGTGGCTTCGCTCATTTTTCTCCCAGAATGAACTTTATCTATTCCCGGAAACCATCTATTGCACCTGCATCGTGCACCACTATTCACTTAGACGATTGCATGCGACCAATCAGTGGACTTTTTTCATACCAACACATGCATTGTTGACATGCACGCATGTCAACTCTGGCGTGTGTCAGGGTCGGATGGGTGGCCTGCACACGTGTGACTGTGTGTGCGTGTTGGGGAGGGGGGGGCACTAGCGGTCAGGTCGCTGAACGTCGCAGATACAAATGCGTCAGTCTTTTTTTCCCTCTCAGCAGCTGATCATTATTACAATGATAAGCTGGCCTTGACGTTGATCTACGTAATGAATTATGCGCTGGTCTATAAAATTGAATCAAAAGTTGCCGTATGCTAGGCTCTACACAGCAACACAACTTTTTCGTAGACAATCGAGATGACACAGCTCATAATATTAATATGCAGGCATTTCAGGCACTACTTGTGACTTCTCTTTATACATTACTTGCTCAGTGCCTGTAATTATCTACACTAAACCTCGTGTTTGCTATACCGAACACTCAGATTCAACGAGATTTTAGGTCAAGCCCGGCGACCTCATTGAATCCGAGTTCCACTGTACGAGATCAAATAAATCACACAAAAATAGGAGAAAAAACAGGAATGGCAAACACCCCCAAATTTGTACTCCACCAAAAATGGAAATGGGCTGGCCACATTGGCAGAGTGAAAGACAACTGATGGATTAATAAAAGATGCACTGAATGAAAACCAAGAACAGGAAAAAGACGTTGCGTCTGCCTGTCTGTCTTACTTTTCCTCAGCACTAAATGACCATTATTATGTCAATGTGCTTCTCTTTACCCAAAAGACAGATGTAACTTCCTTCATTTTGACTGCCCGGTTTATTTATATTTAACATAACAACATATGCACTGCTTTCCACCCCTCTCAGTTTTTCATCTTTATAATAAATTAAAAAAGACTAGGTAGGCCTACTTGATAGGACTTGTTCCGAGATAAGGGCGAGTGGAAAAAAAACAACCCTACAAAAGAACAGTCACCTTCTCAGCTTCTGACCATACCAGGGTTGAGCCAGGTACTTTGGCATACCAGAAGAAACCACCGTACCATGGAATGCAGGAACCCCCCCCCCCCCCCCGATGTGCCAGCATCAACTCAGTCACCACCACCACCCTCAAATCCCTCCCTGTCTCAAGACAAAAACCAATAACAAAAGTGTGATAAGAATGAAACCCAACTCAGTTACTTGGATGAAAAAAATTTTATGATGGTGGTTTTTAGTCATTAAATACCATGGGTAAAGTATTCTACATGTTATCGTACATCAGTGTTTATCTTTCAGAGCTACTAATCACATACAATGTACATGTCTTGTGAACAACTGAAAACATCAATATATGGCACATAAGTAAGTACCCCTGAACTTCTACGAGATCTGGTTGTGAAGTTAAATGAAAATAATGCCCTTCTACTAGTACTAGACATTCACGGGCCATTTTACAAGCAGAACATGTGGTACCCCGTGGGCTCACCGGACAAAGAGGAAATTTTCCAGGACAGAGAAAAATGTTCACACTCTATTGCTGACATGGACTTCAAACTTATGCAGGTTCAATAACAATAACAAACTATGCCACCGAGGCCTGCAGAGCCCTGAGCTTCTGTCACTGGTAGGAATAACAGCAACAAAACAATACAACCTTTTTACAGATTTTGAGGAATATTTTTTAGCCATGTAAAATCAGTTGGTATTTCTCTTGCGTGAATCAGATATGTTGGGTGCAGTACTCTTAAAGTACTGATAGTACAGTGGAGTCCACTTATAACGTCTGTTATAGAGACACTTTTATAAAACCCCGTTTTTTTTCTCTTCTTTTAAATCTTTGTAAATAAAATACTGCTATAGCGCAATCAGACTAACACACGAGTCGGTTATAGCGGAATATTTCTGCTGCTGTACACACCGCACAGGCCAATTATACATAAATAATGTAAAACCTCGCCAGTAGAGAAACTTGTTGGTGAACTAGTGAAACAAAAAATGGGAGAGCCAAAATGTGTCAACAATGAAGACCGGAGCAAATGAATGGGGAGGGTGTGGCATGCGCAGACAAGCAACGCATAGCGTAATAGGCCAGCCTAGTCTAGATTATCTAGGCCTACCATGCCTCTCACTTCTCCAATGTGGGGAGGGAGAGGTCAGGGTGCTGTGATGGATGGAGCGAATGTGTGACGTGCGCAAGAAAACGAAAAGCACCAAAGAGTGTGGTGGGGTGGGGGACAACACAGCGGGCGGGTTAGCCTACAGCCCTTTCTTTCTGATCGCGTACTCCGAGCTGTCTACATCGCTAGCGCTAGAGAAAGAAATCTGATTTGATTTTTGATCAAGTATGACCTTGAGGTCATGTGGAAACAAAATCATCATCAGGGGAGATAACAAACAAAATAAAAAGAACAAACTCATAGTCGTAGATTAGGCCTACTTTATTATTTCCATTGAATTTATTACTGGATCCCTTATAACGAGAATCCTGCTTTAACCGACATTTCGCACCAGTCCCTTCCCTCTCATTATAACAGGATTCCACTGTACCTTAAAAATGATCTCCAAAAATAGCAGTAAACTAACAATGCCACATGCTTGAGTTGTTGGTTCTTTAAGTTGTCTTCATTTTATATCAATCACAAGGAACTGTGGAGCAAGCTATTAACAATTATATTGGGCAATTTAAAATCCTTTATAAGAACTCTCTGTTGCTGTTCATACTAAAAAAAACCAGACTGATTATATCATGGACATATCCACTACTCAATGTAAGACTGTCATATGTCACTTTTCAAAATGGCTTATGTCTGAGTCTTACACGAAGGTACCGGTAGTCAATATTATACATGTATATATCTTGCACAATTGCACAGGAGCCATGAAAAATTTAAAAAATCATTAAAAAAAGGTATCTTTGCTGAACGATTTTTAATGCATTCCAATGCAGTGTATCACCATTAGACAAGAGAAAGATCAGGGTTTTGCCTCACTAACACCTGTTTTACCATAAGCTATCACAGGTTTTAAAACATATGGGTAATAAATAAGACTCCACCAACTTAACGTACACATTCATGAAGGATTCGCCTCACATACCGAATATTCACTACAAAGTACAACAGATGTTGGTTTCATCTCACAAACACTTTTACCTGTTTTATAGTCTTTCAAAATAAGCACAAATCCATTGATAACCAACCACACATTCAATCCCGGAGTACAAATTTGTGCGACACATACTTTATTACTAGCCCAGAGAATAGAAATGTATGAAATTGGAGTACCATAAATTAGAGCAAAAGTGATTAGGAAAGGATCAATCAATCACCTGAAGTAAGCACCTGGAAAGAAGTCAACACCAGCCTATTCCATGAGAAATTAGTAGGGGTTGTAACAAGTATACTGACCTTCACATGATTATAAATGCTGTTAAAAAGAAAGAATATATAACAAAGTGACTGAGATTACAAAGTTCTATTGCAATAGAGGTGCACAAAAGAAATTTGGAAAATTTGCTGTAATCATCACTATCAATATGACCATATTATGAACTGGTACATTTCAAGGCAGAATTCTATGACAAACAGTGGTCTTTCCTATCTTCTTCATGTTGTAAACGTAAAAGTTCTTGCTCCAGAGAAAACAGGTGGTTGTCTTCAGCCTCTGGAGCAATGTTCCTCAAAGCCTCGGCAAGATTAAAGATGTAATCTTTATTATTGCCACTTGGGCCACAGGAGTAGAAAATCTGCTTCGCCATTTCTTCCACAGGAGCCGGCCCTATGTAAAATGGGTTGTCTTCAGTTCCAACATACAGTGTGAGGTCAAATGGTTCATCAGTATTAACTCTAGGGTAGAAGGTTACAGTTGCTTGTTTGTATCCACCTTTTTCCCTGAAGTCTAAATGACTCGTTACCGCTGGAATTTCAGAAGATGGGATCTTGTAGGCAACTCCCCACACTCTGTCCTGAGGAGCGGAACACATAAGAATAATCACATGTCATATGTGTATACTACATTAGTGACCAACTAAGTAGCTGGTAGCTGTCAAGGAACAGAAAAATAACTTACCACCACTTCATGCTATTGAATGTAATGTAAAAAATGGTGGACATTGAAGTTCTCAAAAAAAACAAATGCTGAGAATCTGTTTTCTCTTAATTTCTTATCTCAGAAGGACTAGACTTCACTGGGCTGCGCATGTCACCTTTAAAAAGTGCTGCATAGACACCCTGAAAATGTCTCTGTAGGACATCAGAATTAATCCCTTGACATGAGGATAACCTAGCTCCTAACAAACCCAGTGGGAGACCAGCGATCACATTCACAGAGGGCAGCAAATCATACAAGGCTTCATGAATTAGAAATGACGAACTCAAGAGAGAAGCCCGCAAGCTGCGTACATCCTCAAGTGGAAATTTAACTTCAAAATGTCTAGAATGCGGTAAACTCATCTCAGCTAGAATTGGTCTCATTGACCTTAGCAGAAGCCACAATTCTACTTAATCCTTCCTTTTTCTACATATGTTAACAAAACAATCTTTTGATGGCTCTTCCCTCAAGCCATCCAACCTCAAGCCATCCAAATGGCCAGTTAGTGTGTCAAACTCACCCAATAACCCTGTATCTTCAGCCTGTCCTGAGCACCATGGCTTTTTTACTTGATTTCCCATTTCAAAAACAAGTATAGAAATTTAAAACAAGTGACTTTGAAACACTACAGTAGTCTCCGCCTAAACGCACATCATACAAAAGCACGCTCCGCTCAAACGCACGCTTTCGTCATCTGACGGGCTTTTTACTATATAATTTAGACGTACAAGCGCACGGTCACTCCCTCTAAACGCACACTCCGATCCGCAAAACACGCCGACAAGTTAAGCTTGGCAAGGGGAAATTTTCACGACAACCTGCACAGCCTGCATAAGACAAGCCTAGAATTTACTAGAAAACCGGGTATTTGGTGAGGGAGCCCTTCACGCCGGACAAAGAGAGTGATGGACAGCATAGGTCTCGGTCTAGGCCTGTTCGGTTAAACGTTTGGGGGGGGGGGGGGT